AAGTTATTAGTTCTCCAAAATTTATTTGAAAATGAAGATTTTGGCATAGCTTTGCCATTTTGTCAAAATACATAGGAGTCAATAGGGGAGGAACAATCAAAGGATAAGTTCATCTTTAAAAAAACAAAAATGCACTATTTTTGCAGGTAAAAAGAAAAAAATGTATGTTTTTTGTTTTTTTTTTTTTACACTTGTAAAGCATTGCACCCATGATCATCAGATTGTGGGTGCCATGCAGGACTCCTGCAGACTGTCAATGTATCTTTCTGCTCATATCTCGTACAGGCAGGCAGATACTTACTGACAGGAAGAGAGAATGAACTGTTAGAGAACTCAACAGAACTGTGGTAGTTCTTTGAGAACTACAAGCCAACAGCTGCAAAGGCTGTCAGTTCATGTAGTTTGCTATTCACGCAACTCTGTGAATGATTGACAAGGCGGGGTGGGCAGAGCCCCACGCAGATGTGTTTAAAAAAAATAGTGACAGCTAGCGGCGGAGAAGATCCCCCGGTAGCTGTCACATGAGGCAGAGGAGCAGGCAGTGGCTGCAGGAGTAGGAACATGTTACATGTTCCACCTTAACCACTTGCCGTCCTGAAGATTTAACCCCCTCCTGACCAGGCCATTTTTTGAATTACGGAGCTGCGTGACTTTAACTGACAATTGTGTGGTCATGCAATGCTGCACCCAAATAAAATTTACATCTTTTTTTTCCCCACAAATTGAGCTTTCTTTTGGTGGTATTTGCCTGTGCGGTTTGCTATTAAACATATCCAGTAAAAAAATAAAAATATCTAATTTTGTCATAAATTTAGGTCAAAATGTATTCCGCTACATGTCTTTACTAAAAAAAATCCAATATGTGTAAATTATTTGGTTTTGTGTGAAAGTTATAGCGTTTACAAATGGAGGTATAGATGCTGGAATTTTTTTTTCTTACTAATAATGCCGGCGATCAGCGGGACTGCGGCGGGCATTCTGACACTGGGGGAACTGACATGGTGTCACATCCCCAGTGACACCAATACAGTGATCAGTGCTAAAAGCAAAAAAGTACTGACACTGTACTAATTACACTGGGCAGGAATGAGTTAAAATGAGGGGTGATCAAAGGGTTAACTGTGTGCTGGGAGTGCTATACTGGGGGGGGGGGGGGCAGTGTGTTGATGCTTCACTGTAAGCACACTGCTCTGGATGGCTGCGTTGTGCGTGCCCTCTAGCCGGAAATGCAAAATCATATATATATATATATATATATATATATATATGTGTGTGTGTGATTTTGCGCACCTCTGCCGCCCTGTAGCAGTATATCTGCTGTAGGGCGGCGGGGATGTGGTTAAACACTGGTGGAACATGTAACATGCTCCCAAAGGTGAACTTTTCATTTAACATGGTTTTTAGAGATGCAATGGGTTTTCATGGGCTCCAAAGAGTTACAGTTGCTCTTTCCTCTTTTTAAGTATTCCGTTTTTGTGCTGAAAAATGATGCCTTAATAGTCTCATTATTTTAAGTTTTTTTTACACAGTAGGGAGCAGCAAAAAACAAAAAATGAAATAAGTTTAACACAAAAGTACACACGTAACAATTAAATATAGAAAAACAAAAGAAAAAAATTCAAATACTGTACAAAGAACATTACCACAAAATGGTCTATTTATCAATGTATAAATGTTTTCCCACAAGATTCTCACAACTTTCACCCAGCATTAACACAGTTTTCCAGTTGAATCAAATTAGAAAAATGGGTGGAAGGTGTGTGAATTTTGTGTGAAAAGATTTATAGTTAGACTCCTAAGAGGCATATTTATTAAGAAGTCAATGTGACAATTTAATATACTAAACCAACATTAATACACCTAAAAAAAAAAAATATGGTGAAATTGATTTCCCCAAGACTCAACACCTAACAAAAGTATCACTGCATGTCAACTATGTTGCAGAGTAGACTGATGTGTTTCCTGGCACCTTGGCAATTACCTAAAAATAGGAAAGTGTCCCACCTCCTGTTTTTCTTAGAGAGACTTTGTCCATGCATATTCAACTCTGTATTAACCATTTAAAAGCAATAAGCTGTCACTAAAGGTTAGTAAATCCACTGTGTACAACCCAGGTTACTATTTTTCTTGTTGTTTTCTCACTGCAAAATCCTTCCATTCACCCACCTGGCTCTACTTTGATTTTGGTAATTTAATTTAAAATTAGTTCATATTTGATTAACAATGAATTCTCAGCCTTAATCTTATTAATTACTCTATGCCATGCATATTTTCCCTGTCTTGGCGTCAGAGCTGATAACCTGGAGTGAAAAGTTTCATCAGAAGCTATGTGACAGAAGGTCTTTTTAGTACTAGCTGTCCAAAGATAATGGCGTGTTAAAGGGTAGAGGTACTTTGCCAGATTCAAATACATCAGTGTTTGCTTGTTTACAAGACTGGATACCTTTCAGCTCTATTGAAATCTGCAATTTGCAAAACCAGCTGTGAATAACAGGATAGGTTCAGGTGCAAGAGAATAGGGACATGGGTCTGGCATGTCATGTGAAATGTTTTGTTGGATTAGAACTAGTGATAATTTAATACGCTATAAAATAGATATTCCTTTTTAAATTGTACTAACACAGCCCTAATAGCCCAGACATTATCCAAAATGTTCTTTTATCAGCAGTTTTCAAATTTAAGTAAAGCTCCAGTAGACACAAAGATTAATGCAGCAATAATTCAAATATTCTTTTACTGAAAAAGTAAATGTACAGTGCTATCAAGCAATTCAATTCCTTTAAAGTGAACCTTACTTGATTCTAAAATTTTAACAAACTCCTTGCCAAAGAGAAGGTAACACAATATGCCAATATTGCCTTTATTGGAAATAAAAGCCTCTTCTGTCCACTTATTTGATTTAGTCCCACTGTGTTACTGCCACTTGCCACACTGGAATGACAGATGGCAGGGTTTTTGCAATGATGTTAGAAACCTAAAGCAAAGGGAAACGAAATAAAATGCACAAAATAAATCATTTTGGATAACAATGGTAACTAGTACTTCAAAGGTTTGAGACAGAATCTGTATTCTCTTCCCACTATAAATATTATAAATTTTTTATATATATATACACTATAAATATCCACTTTAAGACCAGGCCTTTATCTGCCACTTTTAGTTTACATATAAAATCAGTTTTTTTTTTCTAGGAAGATTACTTAAAACCCCCGAATATTGTATATATATATATATTTTTAGTAGAGGTCCCAGAGAATAAAATAGTGGTGGCTGCAATTTTTTTTCGCACGGTATTTGCAAAGTGGTTTTGTAAGCACAATTTTTTTGGAAACAATATACTTTAATGAATTTGAATGCACAAAAACACAATATAATACCCACTTGCTTGGTAAAATAAAAAAAAAATATGATGTCACACTGAATACATAGATACCTAACATATCATGCTTTAAAATTGCCCACGCTCGTGGAAACCAAACTAACCAAACCACAGTACATAAAAATCTCCATAGCCAATGCTTGAAAAGCCTTTACAGGTTACCCTTTTAGAGTTACAGAGGAGGTCTGGTGCTAGAATTATTGCTCTGGTCCTAATATTTCTGGCGATACCTCACATGTGTGGTGCAATCATAGATTACCGACAAAAGACCGACGCGTGCATTCGCCTTTGCAAGTGAGCATGGTGGGACAGGGACACTTTAATTTCTAAAAATTCTATTATTTATCTTACTTGAATTTTTTTCATTTGTACATTGGCTCAAATTTTTTTGATCATTTTCTATTATAAGGAATATAAATATCCCTTGTAATAGCAATAGGCAGGGACATGTCTTTTATTAGACCCCAGATATCTCCTCTGCCCTTAAAAGCTTCTGATCACACCAAGATCAGTGTAACTGACCTGTTTACATGCTGGGAAAACCGGATGTGACAAAATACTCATCACTTTCAGTTTCTAACACTATGGAGATGATAGGGGAAGATTTGATCTCTGATCCCTGCCGGCTGGCTTCAGTGGTGGGCTCCCTACCAGGACACCCAGACGGCAGCAGCAGGGGGAAAGCCTTCCACGCCTGTAAAAGCAATCCAGTGGCTAATTAGCCACTAGGATTGTTTTTACACAAAAGTGTATTTGCTCCAGATAAAAAAGAAAGCACCAGGTGGATGCCTGCAGCATCAGCCTGTATAAGCATCTGAACTGGCAACGTACCTGTACATTAGCTGGTCCAGAAGTGGATATTATTCAGTGGTATTGTTTGAAGCTAGCTGATCATATCTTGAAAGCTCCGATGATAGATGACACTTCCTAAAACTGAATATTGAGTAATGTGAATGCATTTTTACTTACATCTTTGAAAATATTAATTTTTTTTAAGCACGAGTCTTGGTAAAAGTTAAACATAGCCCCTTTATTCAACACATAATAAATCAGCAATAAAGAAGTGTGCTCTTCTTGTCCAGTTGGATGTTTCTAATCTTTACCAGCTCCTTCTTAAGTATGGATCATATTTCCCATGCTTGTGAAAGAGCTGGTGAAGGCTTAGAATATCATACTGCAGACAAAAGGTCTGTATGTTGTTGGCCAAAAACAAGAAATTAGAAGCTGAGTGCATTTTTTTTCCTGCATAAACAGGCAGTTTCTGGTACTTGTAGGGTTTTTAACCGCCTCCCGCCCACCATATAGTACAATGATGGGCGCAAGGCGGTTCTCTCGTTTTATGACGGCCTCCCATTCTAACCGCACATGCGCGGCTCCGGGAGTGCACAGTGCGGTGATTGATGGTGCGCTATGTCCCTCAAACACAGCGGATCACCGATCGACGGAAAGAGCTGAAGATATCGGCTCGGTCATGTGATCAGCTGTGTCTAATCACAGCTGATCGCATGTAAATAGGGAAATGCTGGTTCTCTCCTCATGTGCTCTCACGCTGACAGAAGAGAGTAGAGAAGAGCCGGTAATCGGCATTCCTCGGAGGGGACATGTACACTGATTATCAGGGCACTGATGATCAGTGTGCCCTGGTGATCTGTGTAGCCCCAGCAGTGCCACCTGTCAGTGTCCAGCAGTGCCACCTGTCAGTGCTCATCCATGCCACCTGCCAGTGCCCATCAGTGCCACATCAGTGCCTACGAGTGCCATTGCGTACCATCAGTGCCAGTCAGTGCCACTTATCAATGGCAGTCAGTGCCATCTATCAGTGCTGCCAGTCAGTGCCGCCTATCAGTGCCAGTAAGTGCCGCCTATCAGTGCCCATCAGTGCCGCCTAACAGTGCCAGTCATTGCCACCTAACAGTGCCAGTTAGTGCCACTTATCAATGCCACCTATCAGTGCCATATATGAGTGCTGCCTTTCAGTGCCCATCAGTGATGCATGTCAATGCCCATCAGTGCCACCTACCAGTGCCTCCTCATCAGTGCCCATCAGTGCCACCTATCAGTGTCCATCAGTGCAGCCTATCAGTGCCCATCACTGCAGCCTCATTAGCGCACATCAGTGAAGGAGAAAAATCACTTATTTACAACATTTTATAACAAAAACTAAGAAAACATTTTTTTTCAAAATTTTTTGGTTTGTTTAAGAAAAAATAAAAAACCCAGAGGTGATTAAATACCACCAAAATAAAGCTCTGTTACAAACAAATGATACAAATTTCATATGGGTGCAGTGTTGCATGACCGCGCAATTGTCATTCAAAGTGTGACAGCGCTGAAAGCTGGAAATTGGCCTGGGCAGGAAGGGGGTATAAGTGCCCTGTAGGCAAGTGGTTAAAGTAATAAAACATGCATAAATGTGCAATGTATTGCAAAGATGTATTGCAACTGTTTTTTTTCTCTGACATACACTTTAAGTAGAGAAAAATAGCCTGATGGCACAGTGCTTCAAGAAAATCTTCTGCAGTTCAGTAACTAGGCAAAGTATTGCTTCAGTCATGCAAATGCTATGCAGTAGTGTGAATGGATCTTACTGGAAGCAATAGATTAGAAGTTTTTTCATTTTCTCTGAGTTGAAAATGTGGAAAAAGGTATGACAGTGCATCTTGTGTTAACAAGCCTTAGTTTTAGTCACACTATGCTGAATAATGTCTTGTCCAGTATAATGACTCAATGCAGCTTTCTGTAAGCTTAGCAGATGTTTAAAGGCTAAGTTCACCTTTTTGTAAAAAATAATACATATTTTTCAGAAAAAAAGTGTATTTATTATTTTTTCCCACAGTGGCCTGTGGAGCATTTCACCCATGATCAGTGGATCACAGGTGTCATGTCAGGCTTCTGCAGACAAAGGTTACAACTATCAATCCGTATCTCTGTATGAGCTGTAGCCCTATATGAGCATCAGTATTGTCTCCTTAACATTGTGCATTTGCCTATATGTAAAAACAAATGCTTTAAAGCTCCCTAAAGGTGCCAGGTTAATCATCTACCTGCTAATTGCATGAGGAACGCTGGCTTAGGGGTATCTTACCCAGATATGTACTGCTGTAACCCAGTACCATTGTTCATATATCTAAAGATGAGGTTCGGGTTTGCGTAGTTGTGTAATTGCTTGCAACAGTGTGAGCACCCATGGAATATGGAGAACGAGTGTAGTTTCACCTATACAGTAGCTGCCCCTGTTCCCCTAAGGTAAGCAGGCCTACTGATACTTGATTGTGCTCAGGACTTTTTAAACAAAATCATATTCACTGAACAAGTAGCTCTGGTGGCAGAGCAAGGGTGGGAAAAAGAGTCTCTGTGGCTTAGGATTATACAGATGTCTTCAGAGGATGGCATATATGTATGGGTGGGAGTGTATAAACGTGCAGAGAGGCTGGTACAGGCTTTAGGCAGAGACCTGATCATAAACAAAGGATCAGTCCAAGCTGCAGGGAGAAACATAGTTTAGAAACAGGCTGAAATGTCCATTCAAGGACCACAGTATTTGTGGCAAGGAAAAATAGGAACCATTATTGAGTGGATATCTCATTGGATCGCAATACAAGAATACAATGGCCAATATACTGCACTGGGGGCCTTGATTCAAATACGGTCCGGGACATATGTCTGCATGGGTACTTTGGTATCCTCTTTCACTCCAGGGATGTGTTGGGAGGTTAAATGGCTGCTACTTTGTGTGTATGTATGTAATTGGTATATGAACCTTAGATTGTAACCACCTTGAGAGCTGGAATGATTGTGTATGTACATTAGGTAGAACACTGAATAAATTGTCTGAGAGGCCTAACAAAGCTGCTTATATGTTATCCAGCCACTGAACAATAAAGTACCTTTGACTATTGTCTTAAATAATTCACTTTAATTTCTATTTCCAGATAAAAATCCCTTGTCTCCTATTTTGCGGCACTCAAAATTATGTGTGGTTATTGTCTCTCAAATAATACACTAACAAACACTAATTTTTTATTGCAAGATAAATCATGCCTTATCTGTTTCTATTTGCTGCCTATTCAAATTATTATGGAACACCCTTGATGTTAGACAGTTTCTACCAAATACATACCTAAAATCTATATTTTGAATTTTATGTGACTGATTGGGATTGCATGGACAGGAATAGGTTCAGGGAAACGGGAGCTGCAGTTTTGTTTTTGAGCAGTCTTTTTTTTTTTATTTTAAGATAATGCAGTGTGGTACTGTAAAAAAATAAATAAATTCACAAATTATACTATTAAACTGCCACTGGGCAATTTATATGAAGGCAAGGGCTTTGGCTTCTTTTTTTTTTTTTTTTTTTTAAAGAGTATGCTTTCCTATAGCTGTAAGGCCTGTCATTGCAGCTACTTCCATCATTCAATTTAGGTATATTACCACTGGATGAAAAAAAAAAAGGTGTTGCAGCCAAAATTACCTAAAATACCTTTTTTTCTCAAGTTGTTATAAATCAATATTGGGGTGCTGCTTTATTTAAGCCAAGCTAAATGTAAAAGTAAACAAATCAATATTATACTTTCAAAATATGTGATGTTAGAATATGGTGCTGCTGGTTGTGAAAATCAATCATACTGTTATGTAACACCACATACAGCTTAAAATCATCTCCTACGTATGTAAATTAAAGGATTGATATTATTTCCATGTCACCATTAAACTCACAATAAAAATATCATTTCCCTTTTGTACAGTATTTTAAGTTTTTTTTTTTTTGCTTTGTTAATTGTCATGGAAGTGCCCAGATCCCTGTACTATTTTTGACATTAGCATGCCTGCATGGCTATTAAGCTTGAAATGGCCAGAATTCAGTATCAAGGTTAGCCCCCCTCTCCCCCATGGACTTTCATGGGGTTTGCTGCTAAATTTGGGTTTAGTTGATGTCAAGCAGGATTCCATCAACCCCCTGCAAACTGAACATTGCAGATGCACTTAACCCTAAATATATGAAGGTATCTCTGTCCAGACGGATTCCGGCATCGTACACAGATGCTCCTTATTCAGACCAAAGTGCTAAATTGCCAGGGCATCTGGGAAGTAACCCGCTATGGTCTTGACCACTCTAGTTCTGCCCCCAGATTTAGAGGGTAGATAGGGTGCTCAATAGAAAGGTCCTTACTCTTGTCATAATTTGGTCCAAGAAAGTACTTACTTGTAGACTTACTGTCTCCATGAAGAAGAGGATAATGTGTGATTTAGTGCACAAGTGTCTACCAATAACAAATATAAGTTTTAGGTGGTATGACTTTTTCTTTAAATCATTTGTACAATTGTTTAGTTTATTTTTTGCACACAGCAGTGTATAATCTGCATGTGGAAATATAGCCATTTCAATGTGCATGTGCAGTATAAATTAGAACTGTAACTTCGAAAATTCCTTTAATGCAGAGTAAACAAATGAATCATTTTGTTCACAGCAAAGCTACATCAATCCGATATTGAAATAAAAGCAGCTATAAAAGTGACAGGTGGTGTTGTCATATAGCACAATAGCATTGAATTTGACCATCTGTACAAATATATGCATTATTTAAGAAGATGCCAAGGCTGTGCATGTTAAATTTTGTAACCATCACACACTAACTAAATTTGTATTCCATTTGTTTCAATCACAGAAAACAATGTTTTCTATTTCATGTTTCAACAATAACACATAAAATGTTATGCATGTCTTATGGTACCATATGTTTGCCAAGCACAATATATGTATTTCCATAATTTTATTCTATATAATAGGCCGGTGATGTAGCTCCGACTCTATAGTCCACATTTAAATAATTGTGTCCCCCACAGCCACATTAGTTACCTGACTATTTTTTTCCTTTAAAGGGAACCCGTACTGAGGAATATAATGGGCTACTATTGCTGTCCACCTATTTAACATATTATTTGCCTCACATGTTAGACCAGAAAAAAGTCAGAACTCATGATCTTCATAATTATTTAGGGCCAGTGATTTGAAAATAATTAATGCTACAGGATCAGCTTGACATATTGGCAACTAGCATTTTGAGAAGAAGTCAGCAATGGCTGCCTCCACATTTTGCACTACATAGTTTGTTTAATATGTACATTTTCTTTCCCTCATATCATTTTCAGTACTTAAAAAATTATTATTTTTCCTTTAATTTTTTCAGGTACTTTGATTTTTTATTTGGTTGAACTAGATGGACTTGTGTCTTTTTTCAACTTGACTATGTAACAACATATACAACTTGAGTATATCATATAGATATATATATATATATATATATAGATACACACACAGTATATACACCATAGTTTGTAGACTCTATAACTTTCCTACAGACTAATAATATACACTATTTTTTGGGGTAATTTCACCAAAGAAATGTAGCAGAATACAATTTGACCTACATTTATGAAGTAAAGTTATTTATTTGCAAAATTTATAACAGAAATGAAGAAAAACAAGTTTTTTTTGGTTTATTTAGCAAAAAATAAAAAAACTCAGTGGTGATTAAATACCATCAAAACAAAGCTCTATTTGTGTGAAAAAAAATATACATTTTTTATGGGTACAGTGTTGCATGAACATGCAATATTCAAAGTGTGACAGCCCTGAAAGCTGAAAATTGGCCTGGCCAGGAAGGGGGTAAAAGTAACTGACATTGAAGTTGTTAAGGTGGAAGTGATCACTTCCACAACCCGGTGAAGACACCCCTGCCATGAATTCTGGGCACTGTTGTCCCACCAGCAGGGCTGTAACTAGCATGGGGGGGGTGTCGGTACATGGAAGAGAGGGTGATCAGCGAACATCCATTTGTTGATTTCCCCTTTGATGATTGAACAGGGAATCAACATTGATTACATCACTTCTAGGTTCAGTGCTGTCATTCCCCAGCTAATATGGCCGTAGATGCAGCTAATAGAGCACAATCTGCTTTATTTAATGGGTGCATGTAACTTTAAGGCTTGACATGTTTGTTATTTATTTACTCGTTGCAAACATCAATTTGGTAATATATAATTTGTTTGTGACTACCAAAATTACTGTAGTGTATTTGTTATTTTTGTTTTTTTTTTTTTAACTAAACTTGTGTGCTAATATTATGTGACATAAAAATTTCAACCACCATACTTTT